AATGTGGCCAGACGGATAAGGACGGCGAGGGAGAGATACATTCTCTCTCGCGGCTACTCGCGCCGCCGAGGTCCAACCGCAGCGACTGTCGGCCCAGCGAAAGCACAGAACCAGAACCGCCTGCAGACCACGCCATACTTATCGGCGATACTCCTTGAGCTTATCCTTCAGCGAAGTCGGCAGGTCGCACTTCTTGGCAAGGAGCCTCTCTGCCATGCTCTTGCCAACCGATTTGTTCGAGAACCCCTCGACGATATTCACGCCGCTAATCACAACGGCCACGAGGTTGGCAGCGTCGATCGCCCCTTCGGCCGCGATGAACTCGGCAGTGTCGGCTGGATTATTGCCCCATTGGGCGAACACCGTGGAGGCACTCTTCACGGCGGGATAGAGGTCGTTCGTGGCGTCAGGGAGCTCGCTCCTCGCAGGGTTGTCCAGAAACTGACTCTTGGCCAACTTGGCGTTGTACTTGGTTTTCGAAATGATGTGCTGGTAGCCTGGCGTCTTGGTCGCCAAGTCGTTCGTCGTCTTCGCGATTGCGGCCCTGACTGCATTCATGAAGTCCACCTTGAGCTTGGGGGCCCACTCCGAACCGATCGCTTCCACGAGCGAATTCAGCGTCGACCACTGCGCGCAATGAAGATGGGACCCGCTCATCGCCACCGCGCTCTGCCCCACAACCGTCCAATTACTCACGCTTTTCTCGATGTCGGCGGTCGCATTCAGCAAAAACGCGTCGATGACCAACTTGAGCTTCTGCTTCTCGTCGTCGGTGGCCCTAACCAGGATGCGCTCGTTGGTGACGGCGTGACCGACGCAGGCCATCTCGTGCAACAGCAAGCAGACGAAAAGGTCGGCATTGGCCGCCTTCTCGAGCGCCTTCGTCGGCCAGTTGACGAGCTCCTCAGCGTTGATGAGGCCCGCGGCGTTGACAGTCTCCATGCCACTCAGAAGCAGCAGCGCCATCATCGATTGGAACGTCGTGCTCACGGACAGATACTCGGCCGCGTGGGAGATCCCCAGTGATGGTGACAGCTCCTCTGTGACCGACCGAAGTTCGCTAGCGACCTGAGTTAGCGCCTCATCGCTGCCGAAGAACTCGCTCAATACATGGCTAGCCGTAGGCGCGGCCCCCCAGGCATCTTTCGTCATGCCGGGGCTGGATTTGAAGAGGGCAGATGAACTTGCGACGAAGGCCCGAACGGAGCTGGCGATGCGAGGCACCAGCGCTTCCTTGACGATCTTCTTCGCTGCCTTGCCCTCGAGGAACGACTTGAAGAACCCGTAGGCCTCTTTCAACCACTGGTCGTCCTGCTCATGGAAGTCGGTGAGCGAGACGGCATCGAAGTCATTATTCCAATCGACGCCACTGTCCCAAGGTTGTGTCAGGCCCTTCCGCATGGAGGCAAGCTCCACGATGTTGGACAAGTACCCGTCGGGGTCGCTGGTTAAAGACACGTTGTTCAGCATCGTCGCGTCGTCCTCGATATCCGAGAGAATGAGGCGGCACAAGACTTCCGCTTCCAAGAACGCCGCCCCCCTAATCTGGTTGCGGTTCGACCAGGTCTTGATCGCCTTCTTCACCGATTCGATCTTGTCGTTAATCTGGGGGTCGATCTTCACGACCTTCTGCAGCGGCTTGGTCGTGAAGGTATCGATGACGTGAACGAAGTCCCCCATGCACTTCTCGTTCCCAGCGCTGCCGAGGCGCATCGTCTCAGAGAATTGCTGCAAGGCGGCCATGATCTCAGCCTCAGACGTGCGCTGATCGATATTACCCTCCATATCTGGATAGAAGAGGCGCAAGCTCTTGTATGCAGCCAGCGAGCGGGCAGCGTCATACACATGCAATGACAAGAGGAGCTGGTCAAGGATGCTCGCAAAGGCTTTGGTCTCGATCTCCGTGCCGAGGCCAGCGATGGAGGAACCTGCAATAACCCTCGTCATGTACTCGATGCCCTCCGTCCAAAAACCAGTCATGGGGCACTTGCCATCAATCTGGATCTTGAAAATGTTGGGACGGGCATGAATGGTGACGTCGTTGTCCCGTTTGACGGGCATGCCGTCAGCGAAGATGTTGGCAATCGCCATGTTCAGCGTGCCTGTGCACTCCTCGTCAAGCTCGCCGACCGCCGTGATCGCGTCGACGTCGGCAGTGATGGCCTGGCCGATCGGCCCGGACTTGAACCCCTCGGCGGTCTTCTTCGCGGCCTCTGTGTTGTTAATGTTCTCCCTGGCCTTCCCGAGTGCGGTGGGGGGCGCCGAGATTTGCTCGCGCGCCACGCCCAACACTTTGACTAGATCTGCGATGCAGCCAGCAAGCGAGCGGAGGGCATCGATGCACTTCACCTGCCCATTCTCTGTAGTAAAGTCTTGCAACTCATAGGCGCGATCGTTCATCCACCGCTTCTTGAAAGCCCAATCGCTTTCCCCTCCGACGGAATCGTCGTCGCACTCCTTGCTGAAGAGCTGGAACGCGTAGTTCGATATGCAGTCGGCGGCAGCCGTGGAGAATACATCGGGCCCGACCTTGAACTCTGTCCTGACCGAGAGGATCGACATCAACGCCGAGGAAAGGGAAGTGTTCTGAACATTGTGGAAAAAAGGTCGCCTTCAGCCATAATGACATCACGCGGGGCGGAAGCTTTAACTCGACAGCATCGGAATTCCCCATGTGCTCGATGACGACGCTCATGGGAGCAAATACGTCTTGAAGCCACCTCTGCTTCCCCGTCCTCGCATACTCCTTCATGGGGCGTGCAATCTTCTTACCCGCATTCAATGCGACGATCATTGCACCAACGTCGCTCACATTGGCGGTAGTGGCGTCGGCTGAGCAGACGTCGTTCTTCAACTTGCACGCCTTGGTGATCATGCTGGCGAACTCCTTCTCTGAGAGCTCCTCCACGTCGCTTTGGAAGAACGCCTGGATGAGCACGCGCGTTGACTTGATGATGCCGTCAAGCTTGCTCTTGGCGTTCTGCTCCGCGGTGGCCAACTGCGGCACGAAAGCGGCCACCTCGGCCGCGGCGCGGGTCTGCATCACGGGCGCGATGGCGGTGCACGACGAAGACGCTGGAGCGCCAGCGGTTGACTCTGGGAAAATGCGCTTCCACAACGCCGATACGTCATCGGAATCGCACAGCACAGGTCGGATCGGCCACGGGGGGTTCGCCATCTGCCACGGCGACACGCGCCTCTCGGACTCCGAAGCATGGTCAGGCGCTGGGGCAGGCACCAACTTCAGCAAAGGCGGGAGGTTCTCGCCACGCGCCCGCGCGAAGAACACGTTGGCCTCAGACTCGGGGCCCTCGGCGACGGTGATGGTGAAGCTCGGGTAGGGGGCGAAGGTTGCTGCAGTCTCGGCACCAGACCCCCCTGCCATCCGCGTAGAGCCACACGAATGGGACGCGCCCGACCATCACGAAATCGAAGTCGATGTGCATGACCCCGAGGCAGCCTGTGCACGGCACCTCTGGGTCCGCGGTGACGGTGTCTTCATCTCGGTCGCCCTCGTCGATGCTGCGGCGTTCGGTGGCCCCGTCGTGCTCGCTTGCTGCAGTGGGCGTATCCGCGCCACTTGCGGTGGGACTCAGCTGGAAGCTCGTCCTCCTCCTCTTCGGACCTGCGCTGCCCGCTGATCGCAGCGCCCTCCCCTGGGCGAACCGATCCGAGCTGCCAGCGGCTGCCGCCGCGTCAGCGGAGGCGGGCAGCGGCGCGGCGCTGGCCGCCGCCGCAGCCGCAGACGACGCGCGGCGCCGCATGGCTTCCAGGCCGCTGGGCGCGGCCTCTGGCTCCATCCTGCTCGGGGTGGGCCGCCCTGTGCAATCCGGAGGGCCTTCGCTTAGGCTTAGGTTCTCGAAACAAGTTGGGCCTGAATCGCTGTTGATCGTTGGTCTCACATTGGGGTCTGCTACAGTGCCGACAGTGCCCCGAGGCACAATACAAATCTGAGCGACAACTCTGCCAAACTTACAATACCGAGGAACCCCGCAAATTGATGTTGAGTCGCGCGCGTTCTCACAATATCGTCGCACTCGTCGTCACATGCGTTGTCGTCACCATCGTGCTGGTCATATTCGTCGTCGCATTCGCCGTGCTTGTCTTGCCCGTCATCGTCGTACCTCACCGTCGCATTCGACGTTGCCCGCCGCACAATCGCGGCCGCGCTGAGGGACCACTCCCTGCGCACCCCTTCCCTGGTGTCGAGAAACTGCCTCGTCTGCTGGGCTTTGCAGCGGAATCCTAGTGAGCGGCCGCGCTGAGGGGACACTCCCGCGAACCCTCTATGGCGTCGAGAAGCCCTCGCGCCTGCTAGGCGTTGCGACTGCGCCGTCTGTAGCGGTCGCGCTGAGGGACCACCCCCTGCGCATCCCCTGTGGTGTCGCGTCCTACACAGAGCAAGCTTTTCTTGTCTCTAAATTCGGCTATATGGGTATAGGGCTATTCGGGCTTTCGGGCTATAGGTCTGTAGGGCTATAAGGCTATAGGGCTATGAGGCTATACAGCTATAAGGCTATAGGGCTATAGGGCTACCGGGCACCTCCGGGCACCGCCGGGCACCTCCGGGTACCCCTGGGCACCCGGGCACCTAGACACCCCGGGGCGCCCCCGGGCACCCGGGCCGGCCACCGAAATCGGCGGAACACCTCACCTAACCATATGAATCCGCTAGGACCCCTACGGAGGCAAGCTCTGATTTGGGGAGATATCTCAGAGCGAGGCACACGACAATGATGGGTTCGATTGGGTGAGTTACGTGTCCCTGGATGTCATTCCATTGCTGTCTTTGCCGAGGAGCTTGTTGACGGGTCAACTGTGGAGCCATCGGCCTGTTTCTCCTCCTCGTCTTGCTTCTCTCCCCCTTCCCCCCCTCCTCTTCCTCCTCCCCCTCCATCGACGACGACAGCGAAGGCCGATAGACGACGAAGACTGCATCGACCGAACAACAACGACGACGACGGCGGCGGGGGTGATGTCGTCGGCTGGCGGCGGAGCGCCTCATCGCTGGACAGGTCGGCCGCGGAGAGGTGACTATCACTCAACTGCCGCCTCGCGGAGGGGGAGGGATTCAGGGAGGTGGAAGAAAGCCCCACCAGCCCTCTGGTAGTGTGTTTTAGAGCGTTTCCTTTTTCAACCGGAAGGGTTTACCCCTCCCCCTAACCCCCTTCCCCTTGGTTCGCGACCCAGTGGGACGTCCAAGAAGGCCTCGGCGAGACGGCAAAAACCATTGATTTTACTGAGGGTTGGCCTCCTGGGGGGCGAATGGAACATGGTACCCCCACCCCCCTCTTCGATCGACTTCCTCCAATATGACCCCAAGATGACCACCAAGGCTCCCAAGGGTGCCCCAAGACGGCCCCAAGAGGCGCCCAGGAGGCCCCAAGAGGTCCCAAGAGGTCCCCAAGAGGCTCCAAGAGACTCCCGGGGCACCCAAGACGCTCCACGAGGCCTCGAACCGCCAAGGGACCCCCACGACGTCCCAATGGGACCCCAAGAAACTCTCAAGAGACATCCGAGGAGACTCCGAGAGACATCCAAGAAACCTCTGGCCTTTCTGCTCGCCCTCCTCCTCCTCCTCCTCCTCCTCCTCCTCCTGCTCATTATCATCATCATCATCATCATCATCATCATCATCATCATCATCATCATCATCATCATCACCATCATCATCATCATCATCATCATCATCATCACCATCACCAGCAGCAGCATCATCATCAGCAACATCATCATCATCATCATCATCATCATCATCATCATCATCATCATCATCATCATCATCATCATCATCATCATCATCATCAAGATCCGCTTGTTCCTAATCCTCCTCCCTCCTCCCTCCCCCTCCTCCCCCTCCCCCTCCCCCTCCTCCTGCCCCTCCTCGGATTCCTCCTCAGTCCTCCCCCTCTTGAGGTACGGCCGCTTCCCCAGCCCTTACTTAATCACTTCGCGCATTCCGCCGGCCCGCATTATGCCATCGCTGGCGGTCGCCAGCGCGTTCGCGGCCCATGCGGCGCCTTCCGCCGCCGACCCGTGGCGGGGTCCAGTCGGCCAGAACAGAAAAGCTCGTGGCCCTTGGGTTCTTGAGTCTCCTTGGAAAGCTTTGGAGAGCTCCTGGGAAGCAGTCTTGAAGCCTCTTTGGAGCCTCTTGGGGGCCTCATGGGGCCGCTTGGGGGCCTCTTGGGGGCTTCCTGGAGGCCTCCCGAGGGCCTCTTGAGGGCCTCCTGGGGGCCTCTGAAAGCCGAAGGCTGGAAATGTCGTTTCGCGCTCCCCCTCTGGAGCCAACAAAAGTAAGGAACCATCCAAGATACCCCCAAGAAACATTCAACAGACCCCACAGACATCCTGAGTATAAACACGTGTGATCGCTTGTGTGTTTGAAGCCAACCAAAGACCAGGGAGAAGGGCGAAAACGCAACAACCCAACAGGCCAGGAATCCTTAAACGTTCTTGCCGATCAGGCACTTCTATAGCCATCCATGCGCGCACACACACACACACACACATATATATATATATATACATATATACACATATAGCATCTACTATTCTACGGTGATCTCCCCAGAGTCGCTGTGGTTACTGAGCCTCATTCAAAAATCCCCACTCTTCAGGAGAACAAAGGAGTGCCACGAGGAGCCCGTCATACCATCTCGATTTGCCTGCGTATCCCAAGGCCCTCGGGTACAGGCGTCAGCCATGCAGTATCTCACCTTTTTCCCCTGAGGACAGGCCAAGCACAGCCTGAAGTTCAACAGTCCAGAAACTCAAGAAGACAAACCACGGCGACGCACTTGGCGCACATGGTTTAATAAACCAACCAATCAGAAGGATCAAGATACCACGTGCGTGCGCCTTGGAGTCGCCGAGCTGACCACACAGGTCGACGAATCCGTCGTACTTGAGGGCGGTGGTGGGGAAGACGACAGGAGGACTTTGGGCGCAAAGCACAGCGGGCAAGGGGAAGGCAGGACGCAAGGCGATAAAGACACGTTGAACTGCAACTAATCATCTACTACAACGCTCCCCCTAGAGTCGCTGTGGCTGCTGAGCCTCATTCAAGGGCCCCCAATCTTCAGAAGAGCAAAGAAGTGCCACGAGGAACCCATCTTACCGTATCGATTTGCCCGCATATCTCAAGGCCCTCGGGCACAGGCGTCGGCCATAATTACAGTATCTCACTGTTTCTCCGGGAGACACGCCAAGCGCGGCCTGAAGTTCAGCGGTCCAGAAACTCAAGAAGATAAACCACGGCGACGCACTTGGCGCACATGTTTTAAGAAGCCAACCATTCAGAAGGATCAAGATACCACGTGCCAAAATCTCGCCAAAAACGCGAGTGTGGAGGTAGTCGGGGATGGATGGCGGGCGCAGAAAAATAGATAAAGTACTTTGCAAGCAAAATCCTGAAGTCCTCGCGGCAACCTGCTTTGCAGCACGGCGCGAAGAAGTCTTTGAGTGCTCGGCAACTTTGGCGCCACTGATGCCGGAACCTTCTTCAAGTGCGATAGCAGCCCGGCGTGCTTCTCATAGCGCTGCGCACTCTTGAGCGAGTCCCATCGCCCTCTAAGACGAATCAGGTCCAGTGTACGGCGCTTTCTCAACAAATCATTGCTCGGCCCTGAACGCCGAAGAACATGTGGCCTGATGATGACAGATGTGGGATCGAGAGCTTCCCCCGCCCGCTCGATCTCCTTCTCATGCATGGGCAACGTGAGGTGTGGGAAGAGCACAGCCTCCTCGGGCGTCGCTCGACGCAGGGAGGCGGAGGACAACGGGAGAGATAAACTACACTCGCGAATGCGATGCTTCAGGAATATGGCGGCTACAATGTAAACTCGCGCGCGCGTGCCCCATACCAGGCCGGACTGGCGGGACCCGCAATCGTGTTTAACGCAAGTGGGGACGAGGGCGAACGAGGAAGGCGGAGAAACGAAACATAACAAAACCTGCTGAGAGCTTCAATGCCGAAGCAGGGGAGCCGAAACCATGGGCGGCCAGCATACAATGACGCGCGCTGCGACAGCTGGTGTTCAGAGATGGGCTACCGATGTTGAACACGAGCTCAAGCTCATGCCCACCGCCCCGATGCACACAGCCTGCAGGCCTAAGTCGGCTACACGCAAGAGTGACCCTGGGTAAGAGTGACCTTTGGTGCGCGGCTTTTTTGGGGCCGCGGGGAGCCAAACCTGGGCGCGCAAGCCCCTGCTACCGCTTCGTTTTCAGCCATCTGAGGGCCCATCTGTGCCCGCACAGGTCTCATCGACGAAAGGTCACTCTTGCGTCTAATCGAGTAAGGCCGACAGAGG